ATGATTTTATAATCACCCCATTCAAGGTTAGTATTAATTTCATAAAATCATTATATCTTTAAAAAAGTTAAATTATGTTCTCATTTATTAACATTTACTTTTGATTTTTTTTAGTGGAAGAGTAAAGAAAACTTTACGGTAAACGAAGTTGATGAAGTCCATAAAGAGTGGTATGAGTATGTATTATCATTTGCTAAACCTTGATGTTGGACATTGTTCGTTGGGTGTAAATATATGAGGATCATTTGTTATAATGTTTTTAACATGCCATGTTGAATGGATAATTTAAGTTTGTAGATTAGCAATGTTACCAGTTTTAAATTTGGATGTATGATCAATTTATTTAAATATTACAATGTTCGTAATGCAATTTTCAAAATGTAATTCATAGTATCACATATATAAACCAAATGTTTTTTGGACATAAACCTACAACTAACTCAAATATTTTTTGGGCATAAAACTACAACTAACTTTATGTGTATATTAAACCAAATATTTTTTTATGGGATTACAAAAGGCTTTTTTAGCCAAAAAATGTCTTTAATAATCTCTTACAAAATGTTGAATGGGGTTATTGAAGGCGTTTCTGACTAAAAATACCTTCAATAATCCCTTCTAAATTTTTGTATAGATTATTGAAGGCATTTTTGATTGAAAATGCCTTCAATAATCTTCTAAAAAATTTTGAATCAGAATATTGAATGCATTTTTTTACCAAAAATGCCTTAAATAATCCTCTGAAAAAATTTCAAAGGAAATATTAAAGGTGTTTGTGGCTAAAAATACCTTTGATAATCCCATCAATAAATTTTTGTGAAGGATTATTGAAGGCATTTTAAGGTAAAAACACATTCAATAATCCTCTCAAAATTTTTTGTATGGAGTATTAAAGGTGTTTTTGACCAAAAAATACCTTCAATTATTCCTTACAAATAATCCTTTTAAAAACCCAAAAAACGCTAAAGGGAGGGATTAAATCATGACTTTATAGTTAACAATCGTATACTCTAACAGACAACGCTACTCCAGTTTTGGTAAAGAGATTTATTAAAGGCATTTTTGGTAGAACACACCTTCAATAATTGCCTATATTTTTTTATGAAGGGATTATTAAGGTGTTGTCTGTCAAAAATGCCTTCAATAATCTTTTTATCTATTTTTTATGAGAGAATTATTTAAGATATAGTCTGCAAAAATACCTTCAATAATCACTTCAATTTTTTAGAGAGGATTATTCAAGGCGTTTTAGTTTATAAACGTCGCTAATTTTTGTTTTTGGTAGGGTTTATAAGTACAAATATCGCTATTTGAAAGATTAGTGGCGTTTTGATAAAAAATGCTATAGGTTTTATAAAAACACAGAAACTAACGACATTTTTAAGTGAAAGATTGCTATAAAATTGCCATTAATCTTTCATTTTCTTGTAGTGCCCATTCGACACAATAAACGGCTTACATATGGCATATTCCTTGTTGGAAATATACTAAAGTGGAGGATATTTATAGATATAGAAAACAATTACATTTAGTATTTGATCTATTTATAAGATCCAATTAAGGAACAACAGTTAAAAGTAAAATTTTTTTAAAAATAGATTTTTATTTAATGTATTATTCTTATCAAATTCAAGAAACTATTTATACAAATTCTTTCATAAATATTCATAAAAAAAATTATAAATATCGTTTTATAAGTATATCTATAAACATTTTTAAATTTTGCCTTATTTATAAATTATTTCTTGCTTGTGTTCAAAGACAACATCAAACAATAAATATAAGTCAAATTAACAATGTTTTGTTTTATTTTAGACAATTATTTTGATTTTTTTTTTTTTGCACTCATTTTCTGGCTAAAATTATTTTTTTCCCTCTTAAAGCCACCATATCATCATTACATTAATTCCCCCGTCTTTTTTTCTACATTTGCATTCATTATAATGTCCGAGCATAGCTTTCATTCTTCTTTTAATGTCTAGACAACACTAATATAAGGAGAAACGTAAAATAATAATAATAATAAAAAAGAAAAAAAAAAAAAAGCACTAACTAATTGACTATGGGCTATTTTTACTATAAACCTAAAAACACCTCAAATAACAAAACAATTGAAACTAAACGAATAAATTTGAAAATCACAACATAATTTTATTAATAATAAAAATTTTGTTTTACAATTATTCTTTAAGATATGTTATCTCAAGATTTATTTATGGGCCAAGATATTTTCAGCCAGAGTTTGATAGCTACTGCAAAACACATAGAAAACCCGAAAAATGCAAACGTAAAAGTTATTACTATTTTATTCTTGAATTGTTTCCTTTTCCCATATGACCAAATACCACGCACCATCCGTCACTATGTGAGTAGACAAATAGAAAGAAATGTAGGCTTACTTTTCTCGAAGATTTGTTCAATCAAAAAGTAAAATAATAAATAAATAAATAAAAAAGACTTATCAGTCTGGCAAAAAAATAATAAAAGGATCAGTTGAATAATGTATTTTATGTAGTCTAGCCCAAAAATACATGATCAATCGAATAATGTATTTTTTATATTCTATTGATAGAATAATAAATTTTTAATTTTTTATTAAAATTTAATTTTTGATAATTTTAAATTAAAAAAAAATAGTGTATTTCTGAAATCAAAATAAAAGCTAACTGGGGTAATTGAGCTGCATTTCCACATTGACAAAAGAAAACTAGTTATAGACATTAATGGAGAACTCTTCTTCTCAACGAGTAGCGTTGCTTCCTAATTCCCATCCTAATGCTTCTCTTTTGTAAGTAGAAACATGAATATTGTGGATTTTTTTTTTGTTTCGAATAAATTAATTTGCATTAATATTTCTTATTTGATCCAAAGTTAATTCCTATTGGTTGATGCTTTTGCAGCTCTTCTGATTACTGTACTGATTGAAAATGTTACGACTGAACAACCAAATGATGTTCAGGCAAAGGTAATATATATTTGGTTTTTGCACCACCAACCTCAGTGCATATATATATATATATATATATATATATATATCTTGATTGATATGCTTTGGTTATTGACAGAGCACAAAAACTGTGCAGTGCTATGATTTCAGTGATGAAACAGCAGGGAAAAATACCGTAGAAATTGCACCTGCTGGCTTATTAGAGCTAGGTCAATCTTTTTCTCAAACTCCAACTTGGGATACCCCATCCACTGAATTCTCCAACAATAGTAGTACAAGAGGTCTGAATTTTCCTTAAGTAGCTAGATTATCCCACTAATTTTGAGGCGAATGGAAACTAAATATGACACAAACCATGCATGGCTGGCCTTTCTCTTCTTTCTCTCTTATTTTCTTTACGTAAAACCATAACAACACTACCAACAGAATCTATACTTAAAAAAAAAAAATGGGACTTAAAAATTAGGTTACTAAGTATTCAGGTTCTACAGTTTATAAGCTTCTGCTCTCAGCAATTTTTCCTTTTATTTTTGAACCATGCAAGTCTGTTTTTTAGGCAAGCCAAACTTAAATTAGTCATTTTCATTCGTATGTACTTGCTTTTATGCATGAATGAAATATTCAGTTTTCATTAAAAGATAGTAAAATATCTGGTTAGTTAATTATTCATGCAAGAACATATATGTGACGCAGGAACTACCTACCAATATCCGCAGATGTTAAATATATTGACTGGATATATATATATATATATATATATATATATTGTTGCCATTAACCAGATCCAATTAATTATAGGTTTCCTCAAGATGGGTAAAATTACAAGTGATTAGGACGGTTGAAGTCAAATCTGATTAAATTTCTCCGATGCTACAGTCAATATGTGTCGTCAAGATAAAATTTCATAAAATATACCTTACATTATGACGAAAAAAATGTAAATTACTCCCACAATGAACTAATGATCAAGGCTTGGTGCTTTAGTATGATACTGGTCAAGCGATTAAATCAAAAACTGTTATATATAAAATCCATAACAATTTATCACTATTATAGAAACACATGCACCCTACATATATATATATATATATATATATGTATGTATGTATGATTCAACAATATTTTAAATAGATTTTGAAGAATCTGGGGATCAACTCTTGACGGTACTGAAATGGCAGCTGGATAGCGATTAAATTATTACAACAGAACAAGAGACGGAAATTACACTGCCAAGATTTGTTATAGAAAAAATGTTAATGCAAAATATGGCTGATGAAGCTGAAGGTCAAGTGCGAAACGTAAAAAAGGGGTTAAAAATTTCATGCCTGGTTATCTCGGTTTCTACAACTGGGATTCTTAGTATCCTCGCTGGATTTCCAAGAAATAGCAGCCAATCCACCATGACAAGCAAGCTTCTGTTCAAAGCTGGAATTCTCTCAATGTGTGCCTCACTTTTTTTTGCTTTATTCTTGTCGACACTGCCAACAGACAAGGCCAAATTTTCTGGCTTAGATCTAACCGAGAGAACTATCATTTGGATTTCCACAGGGTTGATGACATTGGCAGTAGTTTTACTCGTCATATTTTACTTACATACAACATGATCAGCGGTTTTCGGGCCTTTGACTCTCTTAATATAAAAATAATTAAATTAATTTGTAGCAAAGTGAGGGGGCTTGTACTTTGTGTAATCAACAAGTTTGTATTGACCAAGATGTAATTGTTCCTCTGCACCACTTTCTTGTCACGTCAATCATCCGACATTAAGTTTTTAATTGAATTCACATCAAAATACAATAAAGCAATTTTCAAGGAAAATCGCTCTAAAAGTAAAAGAAAAAAAAAGTGAATTTACTATAATCTTTAAGGGTAACTGAACGGGTAGAATTTGACATCCTATCTTCAAAGTCTTAAAATTACGAAAGAATTTACAATATAATATGGCTACTGGGAACGTTGTGAGAATGGTAGAGGAAGTTAGCCGTATTTTTCTTTGAAGGCTCCAAAAAACTATAGCCTTGATATCAACACCCATGCCAAAATGCAGCACTAATTAAGACATGAACAGTCTTTCTTTGATATAAAAACAAAGAAATAGATATTACAACAATATATTCGCCGAAGAAGGAAACGTTCAATCAGAAGCAACAACTTTACCAATATTAAAGCTCAGATATGAAGGCAACACTATCACACCTCCCTGAAAGCTACAAGCAGTGACTATTCCAACAGAGACCAAGATATGATCCATCCCACCTCCTTGGAAAATAATAGTCGGATAGCCAGAAGAAGTGTTCATGCTGAACCCTGTACATATTAATCCACTTCATCTCCATACCAGAAATTTCACGACAGTGCATCAAAATAAGCACCACTAATGCACGGAAAGGACCCAAGGAAAGAAAAATATCCCACCATGGTTCGATCATCGTAGGCCCACTTAAATGTTTGGCTCAAAAAAGCAGCATGTTATTAATGATAAAAACACATCAACTAGTAAAACTAAAATCTGAAAGGGGCTGAATTGACCTTTAAATGTCCTTGGAGCTTCACCTGAACCATTGTGGGTGCTCCATCATAGCCATTCGTGTGAAATGGTATAGCTAATTGCAATCCTTTGAGCATATGGCATCACTTGCTTCATATTGTACTTCAACGTAGCTATCCTTACATCTGCAAATCTGAACTTCTCCTAGTACCACTTCTTTATCATGACCGTCCTACAAGCATAGACTGCTGAGAGAGATCCAATATCAGCTTTTTCTGCTGGTCATTAATGTGGGGTAAACACGCATGTAGCAGATCAACTGGCATTTCTGTTTTAATTGCTTTGGTAGCATCTGATTCATCTATCACCATATTTGGTTTGACCTGCATATGCAAGGACTGCATCACGGTATCATATTTGTTTATGCAATACTTGCTAAGAAGGTTAAAAAACTCATCAAATGAAGCCTTCCAAAGGGACTGATTGGTCATATTGTAATTGCCAGCAGCTCTAAAATCAACCATAAGTTTTGTTGCCCTATCAAGAACAGACTTCAGAATAAAAGATGCTCCATCTCCAGCAGGACTTCCAAGAGGACGAAGAGGTGGCTGCTCTGAGGAACAAACCACAGCTGCAAGACAGATGCTAAGTGCACGAAGATCCATGCCATAAACACATGAGGACACAACCCTTGCAAGGTTATTAGTAGTTTCTGCTGCTCCTGGATCAGAGGGAAGGCTTCCAAACAAGAACCTTAAATGACGGAAAACAGCCATGCAGACAACTCGCATAAGCTCACCACCTGGAAAAAGAAGTTGAAGGTACCTTGCAAGTAGCTTCCGTCCTTTAGGAAGGGAAACCATCCGTAAAAACACAAGATCATCCTTTTGAGCAAACTCATCTGTGAGGCCATTCTTGCCAAGTGGGTCAACCAATTGAAGTGATGCAGCTAGCCCTTCCAACAAAACCTGTCGTCTTTGTCTCAGTTGTGCTCCTCCATCTTGCAACTGATTAAACTGTAAAAATCGATCAATATCATCTACATCAAGGAGAAGGCATAGACCATCCTCTATTGTAACTCTAGTGGCAAGCATTGGTTCTTGTTCCAGGGGCATATCAGAAGCTTTCTGATCATAGTTGGTGACACCAGATGAATTTGGAGGGTCAACTTCAAGAAGAGGACGAGGCCTGCGAATTGAAGAGAAAGGGAACCTCCCAAGTGCATCAACCTGGAGAAAAGCATGTGGCTCAGTATTTGCACATGCTCGGGGAGGTCGATCCCTAAGATGAGTTGGGCAAAAATGATGTCTCAACTTTGCTCCGGCAGATTTTCTTGCAAGACAAGCCTGGTGGTAATAATCATCCACATAAGGGTCGTTACTGTGAGTTGCAGCAATCTGCATTCTAAGAATGCCCTCAATCTCATCAGTCGACATGAATTTGGATCTAAATTGAGGCCATCCAATATCATTCTTCAAACCACTGCTATCAAAGCCCTGCTGATAAAATCGTGGATTCACCCTACCTTTCTGAGCTGATTTCGGTCTTTGATCTCTCAGATCACCAATACCAAGTATAGCTTCAAACTTGTTCATTAGAGGTGGGGACAGAGCAAGATGCGGATTAAATGGCTGCGACTGAATCCCTGACAAATGGCTAAATGATGGCTGAACAGGATGCTGCAGTCTCTGTGGATGCACCTGCAGCTGTGGCATTAATTGTGGCGGAATTAAACCATTTTGATGAGATAATTGTTGTTGCAATATATTGTTCAAAACACAGGAATTATCTCCACCGTATAATTTTGGCTGGCTCCCCCATTGATTAGATGGCTGACTATCGACAGACAGACCAGGAGCGAACTGAGGCATATTCCCACCATAGTGTGACCCATGATGTAAACCTGTCATTTGAAGCTGAGAATTAGAGAAGGCTGAGATATTTGGCGAAGTTATCATCTGTGATCCACCAACCATATATGGAATATTCAGGTGACCAGAATGTTGGTTTGGTGAAGCTTGAGGAGATCTGCCACCAGGGGGAGGGTATGAAGTGTAAGAGGATTTTGGAACTAGAATTGGTTCACTAGAGAAATGTTGATGGTGCTGATGTTGTTGCAGCAGCTGCTGCTGCTCAGGGTACGAGGATGTCCTGTAAAGATGCTTTGAGTCCAAATTGGGCGACGGTTGTGATGACCAGCGTTTGCCTTCAGGAATACTATCAGTTTCAAGAGCCTGCTGATCAAGCCAGTAAGGAAATTCCTCCCCCTGGGCCCACTCGGTAACAGACGAACCTTAAAGGAGAACACCATGGTCAGCATAATGAAAAATGTCAATATAAATATGGCATTGTCAAAGTTCATAAAATCAGCATTGATAATAAATAGAACATATCAAAAGCTTCTACAAGAAACAAATCCAACAGTGTTTGGGCCTCAACAACATCAATCATCACCAATTGAATGATAGAAGAAAAAAATTAGATTAATAAACTCACTTTCTCTGGATCCCCTATCACCAATTATCCCTGTGCCTCTTGGTCCACTAACAGCTGTGTTCAACTGCAACAAAATCACAAGCTAACATCAGCAAACGCTCAATCACCAATGCTAAGCCAGAATTAACCGCCAAGAAACATGTCAGTACATGCCACCAGAGAATTGTGATTTTAAGAAATATTAAGGAAAAAGATAGGAACTTTATCCTTTATGGCTTTTTTATAGTCCAAAGATTCAATCTAGGCACTAGCAAACAAAGAGATATAATATAAAAGGAAATTATCTTTTCTGATGAATTATATGAAAATTAAGCCAAATATGAAGCAAAGTTAAGGTTCATTCTAAAAGTAGTTTAATGTTAGTGCCCTTACTTGACAGAGTTACAATAAAAGTTTGGAGGATCAATCCTCATAGAAAACTGTCAGAAGGGTTAGGAAAGGAGTTGGTAAAACATTTCTTATATATCTTAAGAAACCAGACAGACACGGGCTCAAAAGTAAGGGGTTGGTTTGGTGAGATACAGAGATTTGCTCCCACTAATTCACTCAGTATAGGAATAAGGTCCAAAGCTAGCAGTATTGTGGTTCAAGGGGATTTGAACCAACTTCTGCAAGAGTGAACTCTCAGCAGATCCAATTTTAGAATATTTGCAAAGATAACTTGTTTTAGCCCCATTAAAATATGAGACGACAATTAGTTGACAGATTAAATTAGAAGCTAATCTTAAGAGGGGAAAAGATCTTTGACTATCTCACTAGTTGCAGTAACTATGTAGTAGAATAACCTTTGAAAATGTTCTAGCAAGATCATCAATGTCTGATAAGGATCTCAATACTTCACCCTGCAAAAATGAAGAGAAATTAGACAGATCTAGAATATGAATATTCTACTAAAATCAACCGTGGAATGAATAATCTTGAAGATTACTAAGTTAGATGTTCCAAAAGAAACACCTAGAGTAATGAAAATTCATGATTAAAAAGTAATTTTAACCATATTAGTAACCATTTGAAGTTCACAATTCCACAGAGAGAGGGGATGGGAAGAGATCAATTTCCTCTCTTTTTGGATTTCCGTTTTTTAGTGACACATGCCTTATCAGACTTTAGCCACTCCAACAGATGCTAACTGTTTATTAGAAACCAAATCAAAATTTATTCAAACAAATTTCCACAATAAACTCCATTAGATGATCTGCAAACCACATCTCCTTCCAGAGACATGTGAAGACTAAAATGCCAACACCCACAATTAAATCTAACTTTTAAAATCCATTGGCATAACCAATCAAATTTGTGTGAATATCAGATACAGAATCATTTTCCACAAAGATATACAGAAGCAGCACCTCAAAACTAAGCCTGCTTCTAAGACTCAACAACCAGAGAAACTGAAATAATGGGGAACCACCCCAGCAGAAAAGGGGAAGTCTTCTGTATCTAGCAATTGTGAATGGGTTTTCGCCTAAATTTTGGCATGATGGGTATAAAGCATCCTACAAACCTGATTCCATTCAGAAGGCTTCATAGTTCATACACCACTAGAAGTTGTAAACATATCAAGCCCATGACACATACTTGAAAGAAAACCTCCATAAACTACCTTCTCAACGTATTTGCTTCAGGAAGCATAGGAGAAACAACAAACATTAATTCAAGAGGCACCCAAGAACAATTAACACAACCTCCAAAACCTATTCAAACATGGAATACAATTTTATTGACAGGATACTAAGCCGCTGGACCACTGCACAAGTGCTTGTACAATATAATTTTCTTAAAGATAAGATAGTATACAAAAGCCACTTCTCATTGTGAAGACCAAGACACAAAGAGACAAGTAACAGTAAACAGCCTGGCCAAGATGGCTACACTGTCAACCTATAAATACAGAGAAAACGTTCTTTTACAGTGTCTTGCATGGGCAAATAGAACAATATTTAATATGAGCTCCCACAGAGTTTTACTCCACAAATAAAAATAGCACGCCAACCACTAATTAAATGCAGTAGCATCTATCTGTTCAAGAAAACAGGGGAAAAATAGCATTCAGCATTACTACAGAAGGCTATTTTTTAGCATGATGTTCAGAAGGGAGAGATTTATTTTTCAAAAGAATAGCCACCGTTCTTGTACTATCCTGCATAAATTTGCAAGAACAATTGAAAAAGGAAAAACAAAACTGAAAAGAAACAAGAATATTAACTACCTCTTGATCAAACAAAGACTCCTCCTCATCAAGTTCGACTGCAGGTAAATCCTCCTCATCATCTAATCCCCCCAATTCAACTTCCTCGAGAACATCTTTTCCAAAAAATGCATATTGTGATGCATCAAATACTGCAACTCCTGCACCATAAAAAGCTAATTTTACTAAAAATGCACTCTTTATGAAAAAAAAAAAAAAAAAAAACTTACAACATAAAGAATAGATCATATCAATAAAAATCAGTGGCAACGCATGTTCAGGAAAAACAAATTGAGACATGAAAAACAACTGAAACATACATTAATCCAGCCTTCTCACCATAACACAAAATATATACTCAATTATGCAAAAACGGGGGGTCTTCCTTTTTTTCTTTTCCTTAAGACCAAACAGCAAGCAAGTGACTATCTAATCCACCATACACCACCACAACGGCCACTTGTACTGGATGGCCAAGGCGATAGCGCAACAGTTAGAACTTGAGATTCCAACTCTGAAGTCTCAAGTTTGATCCTTGGCAATGGACAGGGCATGGGATACTTGAGATGGGAGCAAGTTACCACCCTTTGTGTAGGCAAAGGCCCAGAATGTCTCAATATCTACCAATACCGTATTCTTGAATCCAACCATAATTCAAATAAATTGCGACTATTTCAATAACTAAAAATATTCAAAATCAAAATCAACACAACCAAAACACAAGCACATTTAAACTGCCAAGCTGAAGTGTGTTAGTACCCAAATTCAAAAATTATAATTGCAATACTGGAAAATTTTCATGCCATCATGAAATGAAGTAATAACCTAAAGCTAGAAATTGTTCACATCTTGAAACAAGACATTAAGCTTCCAGCTGCGTCAAACAGTATTACTCACAATTGCTTTTACAATAAAAACCTAACTTACCGTTGAAAACCCAATATTTCATGATCTAATTTCCATTTTCTTGTAATCTGCAATACATTTCACTTAACAATCAACTTCACACTAACTTCTTGACTTTAAACACTTCAAATTTCACTCCATCTAAAATTTAAGCTTAAACCAAACTAAAAAACCAAACCCAAAGCTATTTTCACCCAAAAAAAAAAGAAGCATAAATTAAGTAAATTGAAGAAAAAAGAATCGAATATTAAACCTGTAGAAGTATCACCGAATTGCATAAGATCCTCAGAAGTATCCATTTTATCTACACTTCAAATTAGTACTCGATATGGAAAAACCAAAACAAAACCCCTAATAATTAACTGAATCTTCAATCCAATGGTTTCTTTAAAAATCTAAAATCTGAATTCTAAAAAAATTATAAAAAAAAAAAAAAGAGAAAGGGCAAAAAAGGGTTTAAAAAGCAGAAACCCTTTTGCAATGAAATAAGGTTTGGTGGAGAGAAGATCTGAACAGTATTTCATGGTTAAGGAAATAGCTTCTTTTTTGAAGGATTTCTTTCGTTTCGCAAATCAAAATTTTGTTGCAAAAAATATAGAAGAGAGAGAGAGGAACCCTAAAGAAGAGATAATGAAGGGTAATTATTTTTTATTTGTTTATTTATATTGTTTTATAATAATATACAGAGGAGAAACGGTGGGCGAACGAAGGAAGAGGGTGAAAAAAAAGAAAAAAAAAAGGAGAGAGAGATCATATTTATTTCGTTAAGCTTGGTTTTGGATTTTTGCGGGCATTTTTAATGCAAAGTGGGAAAGACAGGTGCCCTCTTTGAAAATGATTGGCATCTTCCACGATTATATTATATATATGCTAAGGGTATAAGAAAGCGAAGGCTTTGAGGCCCAACCACAAAATCAAATTACAACCCAAATCCAATCCAAGTTTTGCATTTCCCTTATATATTTATATATATATATATATTTAGTCCTCTTCTTCCATTTTCCGTTTTCCCGGTTCTCTTTCCTTCTTGAATCTTCCTCAAAGTCGGCAACTTCTTTTTCTTCTTGGGTTTCTTGTATCCAGCTTCTTCTTCAATTTAAGGTGTCAATTTTGGTTTCGGTTATCTTTTTTTTTTTGTAATTTCTATTATTAAATTTCGTGGATGCAATCTATCAATTAAGTCGATTTAGCAATTATGTTTTTGAGAATTTTTTTTTTTGTTGAGAAATAGAAAAGAGAATTGGGTTTTTTTATTCCATTTTCTTCTTAATTTAATTAATTTCAGAATGATTATCATTGGTTTTTCTGTTGGGTGCTTATGGCCGATAGGATTGTCAAGCATAATACATATATGGGCATCCATTTTGATGAAAAATGAATAATTTTGATGGAAATTTGAATCTTTTTAATCTTAAACTTTCGATATAATCTAATAATACAAGTTTTGACATATTTTCAGGTTTTGTTCTTATCCAAATTTCGAATCGCCTTTCTTGTTACTTGCAAATGCTGACTGCTATTGTTACTGCCTCCTCGCTTCCTCTATTATCTTACGGTATGCTCTTTCTCTAGCTGATCTTCTTGGAAATTTCTTTATTATTCATACGAGACTGTTTGCATTATGATAACATTTATCATAGGTTTCACCAGGAAGTCAATTAAAGTCGCAAATTAAGTGCAGTGGCTGTTGTGGCGTCGTTAGAATTTCCACGAGAATTAAGCCAATAGGCCTTGGCTTGCAATTACAACCTATTGTTGGAAGAAGTAGAAAGCAATCTTTATCTGTTATATGTGCTGCTGCTGCCTTGGTAAGTTTTTTGCTGCTAATATTCGCTTACTTTTCTGCCTTGTTGCTAGGTTTTGCAGAGAAAAGTGTTTGATTTCCTTTAGAGTTGTTAACATGGACCAAATAGTATTATAGGTAGATAATTTTGCTTGTCTTTTATCACTATCAGATTGAAAACACTTTAGATATGTTCATGTACTAGTGTTAGCAGCATTAAATCCTGAAAGAGATGCTGTGATCCTGAAATAGATGCTGTGAAGGAGATCAAATTTTGTTTGCACACATGCTAAAAGGAGGGGTTCAGTGATGTTGGTATTCTGAGTTTGTGACCTGGTTTCTTTTTCCTGCAGAATGCAACTTGCAGTGCGTCGGGGCAAACTCAAACCATTACTCGGGAGGCACCAACAATCACCCAAGCTCCTGTCCATGGTAATAACAAACATATACACTTTCAACTGTTTGCCAAATTTGGTTAGATGTATCCCTTTGTGTTTTTTGAGTAACCTTTAGCCACCCACCTTTAGTTGAACGGTGGTTAGTAAGGTTGTGGAGGGCTAGGTTAGTTTGATGGAATAGCCAAAGACATGGTGATAGGCATGTATCATTCTCATACTTTTTTGGACACTCAGCCATTCTGCGCCTATGCTTGCATTGTCATGCATGCTCCATCTGCTTTGGCAGGATGATTATTGTTTGTTTCGGGCACATGAGAATCCAGATGCTGCCTGGTGGCTAGAAGCATTGAGCGATGTTCCTTTCTGATTTGCCCTACTGCCCCTCATTTTTGGCTAAATCTTGTTAATGTAATAAATTTACTATTTTTTATTATGTCTCATGGTCATCCAGGATTTCACTCTGGTCCAAGCAACTTTTATGTTATTTTTATATGTATTTTTGGTGTACCATTCTATGGCTATGATGTATAGGTGATACATACCTAAGCTTGCAGGAGTTGGGGATAGATCCCTGGCCCTGTGGAACTCCTTACCATAGGTGGGATATAAGCTGCTCACTTGAAGTCTGTTGCAGTGAGTTAAACTGCAGTTGTGGTCCCGTTTTTTATTACATCACGATTATTTTGATTACGGGTATAATAAAAATTATTGTGATCATCATAGTTATCATAATCATTAATTTTTTTTTATTTTCGCACAATATATTATAAAATATTATAATTATAATTATAATTATAAAAATTTTTATTTTATTATTTTTAAAATAATTTATCATATCACATATATTTTGCATATATTTTATTTACCTGATAATTAAATGTAATAATCTATTAAATATTTATTATTTTATGATTTTGAAATGCAAATTTTTTATTAAGTATTTTAAATTTTTACACATTAATTAATTTAAAATTGTTATTATAAATTTCTTTTAAATTATTATAAAATGGATCAAACTTTCAATTTTTAGTTAAGTACACAAAAATAATAATAAAAAAAATTAAAAATACAAATATCAAAACAAAATATCATTAATTTTTTCTCACCATAGCGTCATCTGATCTTTCTCTTAGCTATTTTTTCTCTCTCTCCAGCTGGCCTCTGACCGGACCCATCGGCATTCGATCCCCAATTCCTTCCAATAGAGACTCCGTTTCCAGGGAATCAGTCCTTTCCGAACCACCAACTCAATCTTTTTCAAGTAGGGGCTGACCCACGCTACATCTCCAGAGCCAAGACACCGAACGAGGGGGAAGTGGGCGCTCGCGCTCATAAAAGAAGCCTGCACCACCAAGCTACAGCCACTTCTGTTGACCAGAGTCTACTTTTCAGTCGAATCGCTTAAGCCCTCACTTAGCAGAAGATGTAAACTTCACTGATCAGTTTAGTTCCATTAAAATTCAACAAAAATATGCAATATTTTTTACAAAAGTAATTACTTGTGTTGAATTGTTGATTGTAATGGATTGATGATTGATTTGAGACTAAATTTGAGTTTGTTTGACGCTGGATTGAGGTTGATGTCAAATTTTTTTCGAGGCTTTCAATTTTTTTTTTATTTTGGTTTTTTGACAAAAAAATAAGCAGGGGTAATAACGATCCGTTAAGAGCGCTATTTGTCGTTACAATGTTTTTTCGCGGCCGTCACACTCCGACATCGATGAGATTGAAATTCTCACCTGATATTTTTCAAATAACGGTGGCGGATGGTGACATTATCGCAAGATAATGGCCGCTACACCGCAACTGCACCACTATTTGAATCCATCGGTGTTTTGGTGTACTCTTATGTGATTTTATGAGAAAATGTGTTGCTTAATATGGTTTATTAAATTGCAGCAACGGAGAAGTCACCATAACTAGATGATGGTGATTCTGGATTTCCTCCCCGTGATGACGATGGTGATGGAGGTGGTGGGGGCAACTGGTCAGGTGGATTCTTCCTTTTTGGATTTCTCGCATTTCTAGGTTTGTTAAAGGATAAAGAAAGTGAAGATTACCAGGGCAGTCGAAGAAGATGAGAGAGAATTTTTTTGGAGCCTATTGCATGTTGTTCTTTGTGCTGTATTCTATTTGACAATGGATAACCTTAATTGATCTTAAAATAGAATCTACGTTGACAATGGATAACCTTCTTTTGAAGATTTGTGAGATTATCATGCTTGAAATGGAGAATATTCAACAGATCTACAAGTTTGGTATCAAAAGGACAACTGGAGAGTTCTTGAATCTTGCTCCTGCTCTTGCTCCTGTTAGGGTATAATCGATCGAGTTTAAACTGATACAGTATTAAACTTGAGTTCTAATTCGATTTTAAATTCAAAACTTAAAATTTGACTTGAATTCGATCGAGTTTTATTTTTTTAGTTCGAGTTCGACTTGATATAAAATCGAGCTATTCAAGCTCGTTTGATTAGGTTCGATTAATATGTAAAAATAAATTTAATATTTATATTTGATAAAAATTCGATTATGTGTGCTCGAGCTTAAATTTGAGTCCGAGATATTTTATCAATTAAAATAATTAAAATATATTAAAATATAAAAATTTAATTATATTCACAAGCTACTCGAATCGAATATAAGAATGCTAAAACTCAACTCGATCGATAAGTTGAGTTATTCGAGTTTGAGTTCGATTTAATAATAATCGAATTAAATTTGAATTTTATTCAAATTGAATCTGAATAATTTGCGATGACTAATATATCATTTACATCTCTAGCTCTTGCTTCTGCTCTTGTTTCATATGCACACCAGCACCATTCGGTGACTGCTTAATGCCCCACAAAAACTTTAAAAAGGAACTTCCATCTTCCTCTATTTCATTTTTTTCGGAATTCGATGCAAACAGAATGCTTTGCCTGTCCCCAGTCCTAATTTAATGGGATACCTAAATCAGCAATGCTTTTCATCCAGACTCTATGTTTCATTATTCTATGCAAGATCATTCACAAGAAAAAGCAGCAAGGCAAGAATACAAACTTGACCCAACGACTGGGAAATAACCTTTCAAACGCGGCCTAATGGTTGTGATTCCTCCTTGGGAGGATTCAGGTTCAAAATTCAAATCAAAACCCTTTGCTTCTCCTGATATCTCTTCGTATGTACAAAATATGACAACAAACTAGAAGTAGCATGTAGTGTGTGGCATTATCTATAGATCTCTAGCTTGAGTTAGAATGAAAACATAAAATTTGCCAATATATAAGTGAACATGATAAATTTGCTATTTGTTGTTCTGCTGTCTTTTGCCTTGAAAAATGTTGCTAAGCTCAAACTTTTTGCTCCATTAAAAAAGGAAAAAGGAAAAAAAATGCTTATACAAGCCTGTCTCTGGCACTGCAGTCAGCTACTTTCCCTGCGGTTATCAGCAAGCGGTACGGGGCAATTTTTTACCTTTTTCAATATCTGCTTGTAGCAAAGTTGTATGATGGTTCAGTGATATGTATGTACGTGTGTGTATATATATATATATACACACGCGCTAAGTGATACTATATTTGTGAAATCATTGATTATGAGTATGAAATATACATTTATAGGCTTCTTTTTTCATCACCACCTCATAAAAAGATGTCTTTTTTCTTATATATATATATATATATATATATATATATTCTTAATAGGTAGGTATCCTATGATAATTTTGTTGCTGCTGGTTCACAAGCGCAGCAGCAAGGGAAAGGGACTTATAAGTTGTTACATAGCTATTAGCCTATTATATATAAGTTCTTTTAGGTAATAAATTTCTTGAATGGTATATGCTCCTCAATACCTTGCATGAATTTCACTTAAAATGCAATGATCGATCAGGAAATGAAAATTGTTTTACATGTCTTTATTAATATTTTTCCCTCGAAATGATGCTAGCTAGGTTCCTATTGCCCCATCCAGCAAAACCTTGACTAGTTGACTTTGAGGGGTGAGTGGGGATATCGTCAGGTTCTATTAGTTTTCTATTGATTAGTAATATGCTTTTATTTTTCTTGGTTACAAAACTTAGGTTGTACAAGCTAATTATTAAGGTGAAATGTCGTTAGCATCAAGTCTCTTAAGAGTGATTGACTAGTTGCAATTAGTAGCTTGCTTATTAATTATCTTCACCTCTCTCTCTCTCTCTCTCTCTCTCTCTCTCTCTCTCTCTCACACACACACACACACACACACACATTGACCAAATGCTACTACATATATATATATATATGTATGTATATATTATTTCACTCTCTTTCGCTCATATTAATCTGCCTATCTGCAGTTGAGATCTGAGGATACGTCAAGATTACATAGTACAAAAAGGAGATGTAATGCTGTTTCGTTTGAATGTTTGATGACTTAATTCTTTTAACTGTCAAAGCACCGAACAACAAATGGTCGCTTCACTGGTTTTGTATTTTCAGCCAACGTCAGGCAAATAGTATAGGATTGATATTCTTCTTTTACCAATTCTAAACCAAGAGATACATATATTAATTCGGAGATTGATCTGCCATTGGAATTGTCTGTTTATAATTCAAAACGTAAACAACAGGGAAACGAAATCCCCCCCCCCCCCTGCATTTTCACCTCAGAGGTTGTAACTTTATTCATCTGTGAATATATACCCGTATATATTGGGACACCATTTCAAACAACTAATTTCTGCTACTTTGTTGCATTTTCTGGAAGACGCTTGATTTTCTTTGTTGCATTGAAAACATATTTACACATCTGTCCAAATAATGCCTAACAGCCTAACTTAGGCCTAAGGCTAAGGGCAAAGTCTTATTCTTGTTCTTGTTTTAATACTTTGATCGATTATTAATATACATATAGATCAATGCTTTTGCTTCTAAGAAAGTGAAAGTGATCGAGAATTCAAAGTTGTTTTCATCATTATGAAGCTAAGGTGGAAGTTCCTATCCCTACAACCTGGATCCTGGTCACAATTTCTTGTTGGTTTTCTCTGGTTTATTATTTGAGAAATGCAATAATGTGGGGATAAAACATCAATTGCTTTCCCAAGAAAGAGATTTAATTAGTAGTTGGCTAGATGGTTCTTTCTTCCTGTACATGTCTTTTAATCATTTCTATGGATTATTTTTGGCTGTTTATGTAACGGTCGGTTTTGGAGAATTGTCCTAACCATTTATCTTCGGAGAAAAAAAAAAAAAAAAGAGCTCGTATTTTGTTGTTACGTACTTTTTTTATTATCCTTAACCTCTCAAGATCAAATCTTGAACGAAGAAAAGATAAAATTTACCAAAAGTGAAAATATTATTATCTATTGTGTAGTTTAAGATCATATGAAATAAAAAAATTGTTTTTTCTTGTCAAAAATATTGTTATATCTAATCATTCAGTCGACAAGATTAACCTTCATATTCATTAAATCAAAATACTTTCAATTGCTACATAAGCGGTAAGAAGGATTGACACTAAGCTTTTCGTCACAATACAAGCTCGCCCCTTACATACTTGCTTGTCAAGACTTTTTCACCCATGGAAAGAGCTAACTCAACTATGTACCCTCGTTAATGTTTCATCAACACATCACTTTATAATAGATCAATTGTCCTCCAACTTACTTGAAATCATTAAATACAGTTTATATTAGTTTAAGATTATTAAATACAATACATATTGATTCACATGGACTTTTTTCGAGCTACACATAAACTTTTCATCAATTATAATCAATCCTGATCATATCATTATCAATTATCTTATATATAAGATAAAAAGGAGACCCAAGCATAGGATTCTGAATCCTTCACTCATCAACCTATGCAATACCAACCTATGCAAATTAAGGATGTCTACACTCATCAAAACACTTGTTTCAAGCAGCATATACTTGTTCTCTTCCAATTAGGTTTCAGCAATTTTTTCTTTAACTATGAATTAGTCAAAAATCTTGTAGGCCTTTGTAAATACTGTACCCAAAAAAAAAAAAAATGTCGTATGCCATGCGACCTTTGGACAAATTAACCAGAAAACATAAGTAAGGTGCGTCAGAATTCATTGATAGTACTCAATCTTCTTTTGTCATGATTTGTAATTAGTTGAAAACTTGGAAGTTGGTCACAGTTAGGTCAAAAAGACCCATCAAATTAACTTCTGCTGTTGCAACCTAATTTTCTTTCTAAATTCTTGTAAATATTTTCCTAACTCTAATTATTATTTTTATTTGTTTGGAAATGTTTACATATCTTACTAATTAAGATATTAATTCCCCTTATTTCATTAATTTTTAGGGTAAGGCACTATATATGAAAATATATCCCAAAGTAGAAAAGGAAAAATCAGCTTGAAATTGGTACGTGCCAACAAATATAATCAACAATAAAAACCCAATGCATTTCTCTGTTGGACAGTTAGTAGCCATCAAAGAGAAGGTTGAATACAGTATATCTTACCAGAAAATTGAACTAATAGAGCTTCTATGAGACTCTAATGGCAAATTAATTTCTATGGAAAGAGGGTAAAAGCTCTTTAGGTAAATTACAGGTTTAGTCATCCATCATTAGATGATTGTTTTATTTTAATAATCTAATTACGAAAAGTTATGATTTGGTTACTAACATTTATGAAATCGACTTGATCCCGTTTATTATTTGCTCAAAAACAGTAATAATAAATTTGAACCAGTCACATAAGTACAATCACAAATTTGCACCTTATCCCTTAAGTTATTTTAAGTGATAGAAACTATACACAAGGTGTATTTTTGGATAAGCATGATTAAGGGGTTTCACTAAATTTGCTATTGTATTGTCACAATCTGGCTTTGCTTTGCAACTCACTTTGCAGTGACTTTGGAA